GGGGTGCCGCGCCTCTGAGGCTTTGCTCTGGAAAGCCTCAGAGGCGCGGGACCCCTCCGCCTTCCCGGCTTTGCTCCGGGTGTCCCTGGTCTGCTGGAGACGGTCCCCAGCAGACCAGGGGCACCCGGAGCAGCTTTTCTCACCCCGGAGGTTGAGATGGCAAGACCGCTGCGCTCTGGGTGGTCCCGCTGCCTGCGAGCTCCGGGGCGAGAGAGCCCCGTTCGTAAGTGCGGATCCGACATAAGTCGGATCCACGTAACTCGGGGACTGCATGTATAAGTAAAGACAGGCTGTTAAAGAGATCCATTTTCTCTAAAAGGAATGTATTGGTTTCTTTAAGAAAACAGTTTTACTTATCTTCTAAAGTAGGGGCAATCAGGATTTTAGAAGCCCTTGTGAGGAATAAGTTTGAGGCCCTCAGAGAAATTCTACGATACATCCATACTCATGGCGCATAGTGGCAGATTAATGATCACTGAGTGAGACCTAGCTCCTATCACATGAGTATGTATTTTCCATTAGATGCATATACAAGTGCAAGGTTTTATAGTCACAGTACTACAAAAGTGTGTATGTATATTTATCTCTGCTATGCATATTAATTCTTTGCATCATTTATACTTATGATTAACATTATATACACACACACTTAAAACATAGCTATCGTAGTGTTGTTCGTTTTTTTTTTCTTCTTTTATCTTCATCTATCTTTTTGATGTGTCTCCGATCTTGGAGTGCAATATACAATGTATATTTTTCCAGGGTCTCTGTTTTCCTGAGTTTAATTTTTTCTGTCCTATTCATATGTGAGTTTAAGTAGTTTAATCTAGTCTTTACATTCTCTCTCACCTATTTTCTCTCTGTTCCCTCTCACGTCCTTTTTCCATTTCTCTCTTCTCTCCTTCATTTCTTTGTTCCTTCTTTGTTTTTATATCTCTGTTCTCCACATTTTTGTTGCTCTTCTCTGGCCCTTCTCCAATTTCTCCACTCTTTCCAATCCCACTTTATCAATTTCCTTATCTATTCAGCTTCACCTCTGTTCATTTACGATACATCAGTTTTACAAAATTCTTGGGGTCACTTAAACCTTCATAAAATCAGGAATTTATTTTGGGCTTGTCTACACTACAAAGAAAATTTAAGCTGCTGCAGTCAATCTTCAGGGGTTCAAATTAATGGGTCTAGTGAAGACACGCTAATTCCAACTGAGGGCACCTCCCATTGGTGCTGGTAATTCTGCTTCTACAAGGAGAAAGGTAAGTCAATGGGAGCACACTCTCCCTTGGACCTTCTGCTGTGTGGAAGGTGCTAAAATGTGATTTCAGATACTTCAGCTAGAGTTGCATATCTTAATTAAAACTTATCCTCTAGTGTAGACCTTGCCTTTATTGAGATATACTTGATCAGAGAAAAATAGCTAGTAAATCAGACAGTCACTGGGATGTACAGAGTAACAGCTTTCTGAAGGCTAGAAGCATCAGAAAAACAGGGAAGGAGATGACTATTAAGTCTTTTTTTGAGAATTATAATTTTAACAGATGTCTGATAAAAATCCCAAACTACCTTTTTCAAGAGGTGCTGGAACCTGCTGTTCTTGGGCATTCTCAGATATCCCTCTGGAGTCCCACTCCTACTGTACTTCTATGTTCTGAGAGTGCAGTTTCATTTCTATCACAGAAACAGTAAATCTAGTCCCGTCCCCCCCACTCACGCCTTTAAAAAATGCTCGATAATCTTTGAATAAGAGCAGTTTTGGTTAACGACAATTTAGTATGTCAAGGATGCTTTAGTTTAAGACTGCTTGGTTTTAGGAGCTGCAAAGCAACTATTGCTAGAAAAAGGTAAAAAAACAAATATTAGTAAAATAACTTAGCTTTAAAAGAAGATTTTGTGTAATAGTATCTTCTAGAATAGTGAGTGTAGCATTAGAGCACTTATTGCTTAGCTGATGCATCTTTTAGTGATGAGTAAATCCATGTGAGTGTTGCTATGGGAATTTGGCTTAGAGATGCTGGTTTGACTGCATGGACAGCCCTTATGAAATATTCATGACCTCTAGCAGAGCTGCCATAGTAGTTTACAGAGAAATTGCCAGCAGACCTTCACTTTTTAAAAACTGTATTTCCGTACATCAAAACAATGTTCTCACTTCAGTTGGCAGAGGAATAGTCACCAGGTCTGACTCTGTCTCTGGCTGTGAGACAGCTTGTAAACAGTTGAAATGTGAGGACATTGCTACAATCAAGCTGTTATAACAACGGTGTTTCAGTAATACGTAAAACACATTCTAAGTGTTGTTTTAAATCATCTGTTCATTAGAAGGGATTAAAGCAAGAACTGGAGGAACAGTTTAGTTGCTTAAAACAAACAGGTTTAAAAAACCTTTCATTTAGAAATGGCTGTATGGTTGCAGAATATAAATCGTTACATGCATTTAATATGTAAAGTAATCAACATATGATATTCATCACATTCAATTTAAAAACATTTCTAGAAAGAGACCAAAATTGCTTAAATCTAGCTAAATATCTCTGAAATATTACAGGAAATATTTTGCTACTTCCATTTATGGATGAGTTGTTCACCTCCTTAACAAATAATCAGATTAATGAAACTGTTAGTTTCACTTTATTTCACTGTTCACTGCACCAGGCTGCAAACACTGTGAATTGATTCCTGATTTCCAAGCGTGTCTGTCTTTTTTTTTCTTTATCTTTTTATGCAATCAGTCAGGAGCAAGTGACACAGCTGCTTTTAACTTTTTTCTCTTTAACATTGTGAGTGGAAATGTTGGTCCTAAATAAAGTAATTAGAATTCTATTTATCATAGGAATTATACATGAATAATGCAGAGGCTTTGAGCGGAAAATGATGGAGAATTAAGAATAGATATAAAACTGTCAAAGTGTTTCATGCACTTAAGGAAAACAGATCAACGAAAAGCCTTGTTTCTTCCTTTGAGAGAGAGGAAACACCTTAAAATTGTAGAATAGTGATAGAAATGTAGCCGTGTTAGTCTGGTGTAGCTGAAACAAAAGACAGGACTATGTAGCACTTTAAAGACTAACAAGATGGTTTATTAGATGATGAGCTTTCATGGGCCAGACCCACTTCCTCAGATCAAATAGTGGAAGAAAATAGTCACAACCATATATACCAAAGGATACAATTAAAAAAAGTGAACACATATGAAAAGGACAAATCACATTTCAGAACAGAAGGGGGATGCGGGGGG